TCACTGCCCAAGACAAGAGCACAGGAAAGTCCAGTAATATAACGATCAAGAATGACAGAGGCAGGCTCAGCCAGGCAGAGATTGACAGGATGCTGGCCGAAGCGGAGAAGTACAAAGATGAGGATAAGAAACAGCAAGAACGGGTGGCAGCCAGGAACCAGCTTGAGGGCTACGTCTTCAGTGTCAAACAAGCTGTTGATGCAGCTGGTGACAAACTTACATCAAAAGACAAAGACATAGTGATCAATGCCTGCAACGACACAATGAAATGGCTGGATAGCAACTTGCTAGCTGAGGAGGAGGAGATTCAGGACAAATTGAAAGAGATACAGAAAATGAGCTCATCAGTGATGGCCAAACTTCATAGCCAGGGACAGAGTAGTTCTACCACTAATGGCCAGGCTTATGGTCATCATAATGGTCCTACTTTTGAAGAAGTCGACTAAATTATCATAATCTATAAAATGTAATTGTGTTAAAACAATCTTCATTTTTATGTGTGTTGTGTTCATGCAACAAATATTTGCATTGTAAATATCATCTTATTTATTTATTAATTTTCTTAAATAAATCAACTGTCACTTTTAAAACATAATTTTTGTATTGATACAAAACGTTTGCATTTTGAAGACAGCTTTATTGTAGTCCTTAACATTTCAAATAAAAACTACCAAATGTTATAGTCATCTTTTCCATTAAATGAATTATTACATTTTTTTAAAACCTTTTTAAAAAAACAACACAGTGGTGGTTAAAATAAATATTTCTGTGTTGGGATTTCAGGAATCTATTTCATATTATTTGGTGTAAATTATGCTTAATATTTTGAAAATTTAAACTCATTATAAAAATTTTCAAACAAAGCAATAAGTTTTAAAAATAAGTTGAAATTCTTTTTTAATATTTAATGTGTTACTCTGTTACATTTCAAAGTCCAAAATTATGAACTTGTTGATTTTAATTGTTCAAATGTATAATAAAATATTTGAAAATAAAATCTGCATCTATAATTTTTATTTGCTTTTTGTTATAATTTGTGCAGTAGTGTAGCAAGGTTGAGTGCTCTTCTCGGGCAGTCAGGCAAATAATTTTTTCAACACATCCCCCACCCCCTCCCAAAATAAATTTTGTAGTTTGCTGAAAATGACCTCCATATTAAGAAATAAATTGTGCCTTCCAGGGGCAAGCAGCCCCCTCCGCATCCCCCCTTTTTCCTATGACTATGTCACAGCCTTTGTGTGTCATTAAACCCAAGCAATAGTGATTAGAGGAAGGCATACATTAAGTTATGATTTAAATATGTCAAGAAAACAGATTTTAAAATCAAAGATAAATATTCTTTAAAAAAAATCTGTACCAGCTTCTCAAATTATTACCACAATATGAGTACCTCTCTTGACTTCTCTTGATACTTCAAGCGCCCTGTCATATAAATTTCATGATGGACTAAAGTCCAAATGTCCAAGTAAGCTACAGAATAGTGCTAGAAGAAACAAACTGTTCATTTCTGCCACATCAATATTATTTGATGAGTTTCAGAATGCTGACACATTTGTCAAAAGATTTAATGAGTTTGATCAATATTATATAATTTATACCTTTCGCTTTCCAATCTAAAGGGAATTAGAGGAGTGAATGTTTGGCGTAATTAGGGTGCACAGGTGCAAATAAGACTCATTCTTTCACCAATATCCCTAAGTAACAAGTTCTTGGACTATAAAAACCAGGCTCTAAATTTTAATTCGTGTTCAGGACTTTAAATCAAAGAGAAGCGTACAAAATGTAAACATTTAAAATAGTACAAAATACAAAAGACCCGATCTTTGTATTATGAATGACATTTAAACATATGCAGAATCCATAAATCAGTGAAATATATTAAACAATAATTTTATAAAATGGAAGTGGCGGTACCGAAGTGGCTATAATTTTGAATAATTGAGTGAGACAGGGGTTTCGAGGTGGGATCACTAGTACTAGTACTAGTACAAATAGATTAATTAGTGAGGCCATCGGTCATTAGATTAGACTTCATTGATTCATTAGTCAATCATTAGTCTAATGATTAGAATTAGAACTACCGTAATTTTCTAAAGTCTAAAATAAAGTGGTTAGATTGGGCCTGAAAAATGAATTTCATTGATACCAAATTTATGATTGTATTAAATTCTATGAGTATCTTACTTAATTCTATTCTAAAGTTTAAAGAAAGTTATTTTTTTCCCTAGATTTTCTGGGGGATAAATCTGCTACTGCTAATTATAATATAATATAGGAGACATATGAAATATGTTATACTAATCACATATAGGAATAGGAAAATATAAAAGTGACATACCAACCCCCCACAACAAAAAAAAAAAAAAAAAAAAAAAAACAAANGAAGTTTAAAGTTTAATGAATGTAAAAAATTTCAGTTATTATTAAATTATAAATCAGAAATGTTATGCCACAGTAGAAAAGAGGAGACGGTAAATTCAGAGAACGCGGCCCGCCTTTATTTCCATGCTCGCACTTTTACGTCTTAAATCGATCCCTATGCCGCATGCCTAACCTGAACCCTAAATCGATCCCTATGACTATGCCTAACCCGAACCCTAAATCTATCCCTATGCCTAACCCGAACCCTAAATCTATCCCTAAGCCTAACTCGAACCCTAAATCAATCCCTATGCCTAACCTTAACAAAGTCAACGTGGGCCGCTAAATCTGAAACAGCCGAGGAGACATTACTTTATGTTAGGGACTGTCCATAAACTATTTCATACTATTTTTTACAATATTTCTCTTTCCCCCTGTCATGATCTGTTACAAATCTCGTAAGCCCTTCACTAAAAAAATATGTTGCAGTGCAACTTGCACTTCAAAAATAAAAAAAAATTGTTTTAAAATTAACAACTAGACTTTATAAAAATCATCTAAAACACCTTGCATTATTAAAATAAGACACTACTAATTCGTGACATCTTCTTTCAGAATACATAAAATTTCAGCTTTTATATTTATGATAAAAATATGTAAACATGTGACATCACATAGAGTACAAAATTGCAACTCTGTGCTACCATTGCTTGCATGACCTGGCACCATCCTATCTCAAAATGATAATGACGACTTATGTACCCAGTAGACAACTCTGCTCATCCGATAGTGGCAAACTCTCGATACCACGTGTTCGCCTTGAGACTTACGGAAGGCGCACTTTCGCATTTGCTGGCCAAACAATTTGGAACACACTTCCTTCCTGACGCTCTCAGAAACATGCAGACACTGGAGTCTTTCAAAACCAAATTGAAAACACACCTATTTCGCAAACACCTGCTGGGGTGATGTTGTCTAACATCTTTTCCAGCTGGCTATTATCTCCTAGATGTATATTATCCTGTGTTGTTTATGTTTGTAAGGGATAAAAGAATTGGAATGGGTATTCTCGTATGTAGTTTTTGTAATGATTTGTATTTCCATGTGGTATAATATAGATTTTTTTCATTTCTCCTTTAATATGGTTGACTTTGTACAGCGCTTCGAGCCTTTGGGGATGAAGCATAATTTTTCAATAAACTTTTTTATTATTTTCTTAACACCCCCCCCCCCCAGTGTCACAACTGCCACACTTTTTTAGACTCCCTCCCTATTCCTACATAATTATGGATGATTCCTTATGATATTTAAAAAAAATATCTTCATGATCAATAAAATAATTTTCCTTTATGTATTTAATAAATCACAAGTTTATTTTCTAAGCAAGCTCTACAGAACAGTTCTATTTGCAAATCAAGAATAAATTAGAAGTCTATAATTTTCAATAGTTAAAATTATTTTAATTTTGTAAGGGTGGATGGGTGGGGGTGGGGAGACTTAGTAAAACAATTGGTAGGGGGTGCGATATTAGTCAAATAATTCGTGGGGGGTACGGAGTAAAGAAAAGGTTGAGAAGCACTGTTGGACAGTATGATTAGAATAGACTCAGTATAGAGTCAATAAAGTAGAGTGAGTCCAGAAATCAGAATTTAGGCATAAATCATTTGCCATTAATTAGGGCCTCTTAAAATAAATTAAGCTCAAGCCTAATCATGATTATGACTAATTACCTCAAAGTCAAAGGCAGATCATAGGCCAAAATGTAATAATTAATATAGGCCATTTTAACAGCTTAAAGGCTTACTAGGCTATTATTAATTATTGAAGTAGTAAGCCTACATTATATTCAACTTATTAAACCTATTAAATTATCTATCGTTGGACTGAAATAATGTTTTAAATATATTCTTACTTAAATTTGTTTTAAATTTGTTTATTTTGAATTGATAAGTGAAATGCTTTTTTATAAAGTAATTATGAATGAAACGTCCCTGACTTTGTATTAAACATATTTTTTCTTTAATATTGCAGAGTAAAGAGCTGTAAGAAAACTCAGATACAAATATACTATGTCTTTGGAAGTATTGAATGCCCAGTGTGTTTTGTGTGAGTCACAGTACAAAACATTCAGAAGACTAAAAAGGCATTTCAAGAAAAGACATGGAGGTCTAGAAGGCTTACAATGTACTTTTTGTGATTACATGTCACCAGACAAATTGTTGTTGAAGGAACATATGGAAAAAATGCATCTAGATGAAACATATGTTTGTGAAAAGTGTGATTTTAAAACTCGAAAGTGGACTCGAATGGAGAGACATTTAAATAGGCACAAAACAGCAACTTTAGAAGACCTCCCTTCCTCTGAACAGTCAAAGTCTAGAATGATAGAGGCTTTTCAGTCAGTTTTTGATGATTTCATTGAGACAGGACCAAAAAATACAGACCAAGACTGTAAAGTTTTAGAAAATGAAAATTCTTCAATTGATTCTCAAAACCTTTTGAAAAATAATGCTCATTTCATCAAGAGTAGTTCAACTGCTGCAGGTAAACCAGTGCCCTTAGATGTCATGAATGATGGTCAGATGAGTTTTTCTTGTCATTTTGTTAAGGGCTGTCCTGCTTTGAAAGGCTCAAAAACGAAACGTTTAAACTGTGAGTTGTGTGATATGACATTTCGACACAGGGGCCACCTGAATGTCCACTTGAGGATACACACAGGAGAAAAACCTTACAAGTGTTCTTTGTGTAATTTCTCTGCAAGGCATGGTAGCACTATAGACAGACACAAGAAAGCTCACCTCAATGACAGACGCTATGCTTGTGATGCATGTGGTTATAAAAGTGTGTATAAATCTACTTTGCAGAGACACTACAGAACTCATACAGGAATTAAACCTTTTGCATGTGAATTTTGTCAGAGATCATTTAGTCAAAGAGGGCATATGAAAGATCACAGAAGAAAAGTTCATTTTTGCTAATATAGTTCTTTTAGTTTTAATATTAAAATTTTCTTTTTTCTGAAAAATACTAACTATACTATTTAGTTAAATTTTTATAAACATAATCTCTGACCATCTAGCTTGTTTTCTTTAGAAATATATTTATAAACTTTCTAGTCTTGACTTTTTTTGTCATCTTTCTCTCTTGGGTTTTCTTAACTCAATCTTTACAGAATCTCAATGCGCTAACACAAGTAACAATGGTCGGCGAGCAGCACAGCTGACATATAAATGATGTGTGTTGGGGGGGAGGGTGTACAGTTTTGGGAGTTTGTACTGGGCGGCATTTAGTCAAGGTACGCTAATGATCTAAACACCTTTATAAACAAAAATTATATATTTTTTTCAATTATCACTATTGATAATCTATTATATAAATTTATTCAATTATACATGAAAAAGCTCATGAATATATCTGTAGATCTTATTAGTTTTTTTATGTAGGCTTCCCAGTGTCTGAAGTTATTATTTATTTTTTTATTTGTTTGCTTATTATTTAGCTTAATTATTTTATTTTATCTTATTAAAGGTGATGTCAGATTTGACAAGTTTATACTTATGGGGTACGTTCATGAAGGAAACATATATTTATTTTCGGAGAGAAAACAGCCTAATGAGTTGGTGAATATCATATCCGCTTTCATATCATTAGTGCTTGTCATGGTTTGGCTAAGTAAACATGGATCGGATGTCACCGTTAATTGAGAGGAAAGAAATTATTCGGAGTAAAAGTATACATTTTATTTCAAAAACTATATTATTGGGTATGTTTTAATTAACCCCACTTTAACTTACCGGAAACAAGTTTAGAAACAACAAACATGATTTTGGAACCAAACAAAAGTGGTAAAAGTAGGCAGCAACCACGGGCAAGCTACTCTGTTTTACAAAAATTTGAACATAGCCCTTAGCCCAAGACAAAATTTAAGGTATAATTTAATAATTTTTTAATAATTAAAAAAAAAAATAATGACATAGGATTGATGAGCCTAAGCCTGTTTCCACTTCAAATTAAGATTGAAACATTTTTATGTACTTTACTTTTTTTTGTTTGTTTAGGTCCTAAATTTCTTCTATTTTTGTAACTAAATACTGGAAAATAATACTTTCTAAGTTTAAGTTCACTTTGGGTGAGAAGTCTAAAAATTAACCAGATTTGCTACATTCGCCTCCAGAATCCACCATTACAAGATATTAAAAGTTATTAAATATTTTTTTATGATACCCTTTTTAGAGTGCTTGAAATTTAATTTAGGATGCATAATTATAATTAATTAAATGATATTTTAATCAAAACAAAAGTAACTGAAAAAACTTATTTAAAATGGTTTTAGGGTAACAGGATTAAAAAAAATGTGTATTTAAAACTTAATTCAGTTCAAACTTTGGAAAGGAAGAGGAAATCAACATTTTAACTTTCTATATAAGACATGTTTATTAAGAATAAGCCATAAATCATATAACTCATAAGCCATAAAGCATGTAGCACAGCAATTTCTACTGAAATTCAAGAAACTATATAAATGGTTAGTTATATAAAAGAGGCTAACAGTACTAAGGACAAGACAACTGTCATATAAATTATGACTACTTCAGTCAGTGGTTCTCTAACAACTAGACATAGGTCATGAAACGAGTGACTGTAAGAATTAAACCCAGGGGTTCTTCTAACTGTAAGCGGGTGTGGTGAAATGATTCAAAGACAAAAGAGGCACTAGATAAAAATTTATAAGCTTGTAAAAATAAATTATGAAATAACATCTTTTATATTTCATTTATTGTGTACATTTGATAAGAGAAATATGTGCACTGGTATTTTTTAAAATGAATTAAAGCAGTGCTGGAACTGGAATAAAGGCAAGTAGTGAGTGAGCATATTTTTTTCCCCCATAGTTTATGATAGGAGATCTTTCCTCAATTCAATCTATTAAAGTAAATGAGAAATTACAACACATAAATGGAGCTGCAAACATTAAACTCTAAATTTAAAGCATTTCATGTGTAAATGGTTTAGCAAGCACCACCAACAAGAATTAAAGAGGGAAACGTGGACCATAATGAAAATGATAATAATGAACAGGAGCTTACTTTTTATCTTTTACACTACAGCAAACATATGATGTCTTTAAAAGTTAATATTTTAATACTAGAAAATGTGCCTGGATTGCTAAGTGGGATGGATGAAAGAGCAGTGGGGCAAAGGGTCTGTGCTTCCTTTTAAAACTTTTGAAGGTTTTAAAAAAATGCACAAGACAAATTTTAGTTTTAATTGACATCATTAGAGAGCAGTGAACAAAATGTACAATTTAAAAAAATGTTCACCATTGCAACTGCTGATAAAATGGCTCCTGAGGTTTATGGTTATTTTTTAATGTATGAAAATGCAACCAATTTGATTTACACAAAGAATAAAAAAAGATTAATATTATTGTCTTTGAAAATGAGAGCAGAGTAAAATATAATAAGAAGAAAACGATATAAACAGTATTATTGGACATTCTTAATAATAGGTCAGAGTTCTTTTTAGTTACTATTTTATATTTTAAAAAATTTTTATTTATAGCTAAAATATTAAATTGACTACTGTAACAAAAGTGCACAGATTTATATTTATTTTGCATATTATGGCCGGTAGGAAATACAAAGCATCAGGAGAATCTAATATTTTTAGGTACATGTTTTCACAAACTGTAAACAAGCAAGACATACCCCAATAAAACTACTTTGAGTAGAAAATAGAATAGAAAAGAAGCCTAATCCTGAGAGAGTCCTTTGTATCACATACCAACATCACAAATCCCAGTGATGGTTAACTGAGTTCATCACTCATAAACAAAATGTACATTCAAAAAGTCAAATTTATCTTCCAGGTGCCTTTTTTTTTTTTCCAGGGCCTATTTATAATGCCAGATGCTTTTAAAAAAAATGACATCTCATGCCTATGTTTTTTTTCTTAAAAAGAGTTAGGGCCAAGGAACATTGATTATCTAGATTGAATTATTACAACTGCTGAAAATAAATTTTAAAAAAAAATGGGTCTTTCAAATGTCTCTTATAATAAACGAGTCAAGGATTAAAAAATTGTTTAACCACTAGTTTAACCACTATTTCCTATAACCAACCTACTTATAATGCTAGGTTTTACTATAAAAATAAATATCACTAAACTATTTTCAAGTGTCTTGTTCAGGATTTTTGTACCTACATAATTTTGTACACATTTTCCTTAACAATATGGAATCATTATTATAGAGCATAAGGACACCCCCCCCCCCCCACAAAACCCAATTAAAAAAAAAAAAAAAAAGCACCCCACCCCCCCCCCCCAAAAAAAAAAAACCCAACGGAAACAACAAACAACCCTTTGCAGAGAGTTGAGATAGATGTTAAAAAGAGCAGTGTGAATTGAAATTAATTAAGGTAACTATTGTTAAGTACCGATTGGCATTGCTAAAAAGTGCACTTAAATTTTAGGAGCGCAAATTATTTATTGAAGTTTAAAGTTTAATGAATGTAAAAAATTTCAGTTATTATTAAATTATAAATCAGAAATGTTATGCCACAGTAGAAAAGAGGAGACGGTAAATTCAGAGAACGCGGCCCGCCTTTATTTCCATGCTCGCACTTTTACGTCTTAAATCGATCCCTATGCCGCATGCCTAACCTGAACCCTAAATCGATCCCTATGACTATGCCTAACCCGAACCCTAAATCTATCCCTATGCCTAACCCGAACCCTAAATCTATCCCTAAGCCTAACTCGAACCCTAAATCAATCCCTATGCCTAACCTTAACAAAGTCAACGTGGGCCGCTAAATCTGAAACAGCCGAGGAGACATTACTTTATGTTAGGGACTGTCCATAAACTATTTCATACTATTTTTTACAATATTTCTCTTTCCCCCTGTCATGATCTGTTACAAATCTCGTAAGCCCTTCACTAAAAAAATATGTTGCAGTGCAACTTGCACTTCAAAAATAAAAAAAAATTGTTTTAAAATTAACAACTAGACTTTATAAAAATCATCTAAAACACCTTGCATTATTAAAATAAGACACTACTAATTCGTGACATCTTCTTTCAGAATACATAAAATTTCAGCTTTTATATTTATGATAAAAATATGTAAACATGTGACATCACATAGAGTACAAAATTGCAACTCTGTGCTACCATTGCTTGCATGACCTGGCACCATCCTATCTCAAAATGATAATGACGACTTATGTACCCAGTAGACAACTCTGCTCATCCGATAGTGGCAAACTCTCGATACCACGTGTTCGCCTTGAGACTTACGGAAGGCGCACTTTCGCATTTGCTGGCCAAACAATTTGGAACACACTTCCTTCCTGACGCTCTCAGAAACATGCAGACACTGGAGTCTTTCAAAACCAAATTGAAAACACACCTATTTCGCAAACACCTGCTGGGGTGATGTTGTCTAACATCTTTTCCAGCTGGCTATTATCTCCTAGATGTATATTATCCTGTGTTGTTTATGTTTGTAAGGGATAAAAGAATTGGAATGGGTATTCTCGTATGTAGTTTTTGTAATGATTTGTATTTCCATGTGGTATAATATAGATTTTTTTCATTTCTCCTTTAATATGGTTGACTTTGTACAGCGCTTCGAGCCTTTGGGGATGAAGCATAATTTTCAAATAAACTTTATTATTATTATCTTAACACCGTCCCCCCCCAGTGTCACAACTGCCACACTTTTTTAGACTCCCTCCCTATTCCTACATAATTATGGATGATTCCTTATGATATTTAAAAAAAATATCTTCATGATCAATAAAATAATTTTCCTTTATGTATTTAATAAATCACAAGTTTATTTTCTAAGCAAGCTCTACAGAACAGTTCTATTTGCAAATCAAGAATAAATTAGAAGTCTATAATTTTCAATAGTTAAAATTATTTTAATTTTGTAAGGGTGGATGGGTGGGGGTGGGGAGACTTAGTAAAACA